GGCGGCGGGCGCGGAGCTGTGGCGGAGCAGCAGGTGCTGGGGCCACTTTCTTTTTCTTTTTTTTTTCATTTTCGGGGAAAAAAAAGTTCTTCAGTTCAAACCCACGAAGATCTTAATAACGAAGAGGCTCAGAGCAAGACGAAAGGGTGTTGGTGAACTGGAAATACATATATTTTTAATAATATAGGGAGGTTGGGATTGTTGGGGTTTTTTCTTTACATTGTTAACAAATGCCAAAACTCACCTTTAAAGCGTGGTCTTGTGTCTCGTAAATACCAGGTACACGTAAAGCGAGCTGACAGTTTTGATTATTTTTTCTCTCTGTGCTCAGTCTCCCGGGCATCGCTCTTTCCAAGGGGGTTAGCTCATGTTTTCAGCTGGAAGTGTTGGATTTGCAGCTTGATTTACTTAATAAATGTACAGTAAACCGATGACCCGTCGCCCTCTGGAATAACGACGTGCGTGATACGAGGCGGCGGTGTGGAGGGCCCCCACGATATTTTACAAGCTGTCGATTCAAAATCCTGAGAACAAGTTGAGCCGAAAAGAAAAAACCCATGTTTTGCTGTATCATTGGAAAACAAATAAATGGAGGAAGAGATTATTCTTTTCTGACTTTTATACAAGCAATAGGCCTGTTAAAAGGAAGTTTTAATGGCACGGTTATTACATTCCACTACCACTGCATAATCCCTAACAAGAAAAATGAAGCACTTAATTTTGCAGTCCTACAGCACCGCCCCTCTCACATTCAATTGTTAGACCTCAGCCTTCCTCCTTCCGCGGGTTGGAGACTATTAAATCCGCATTCATGAAATGTCACATTTATTGAACTACATAATTTTTTAATATCACTAGTGCAGGTTTTATAGTTGATTTTATTGTTTTTATGGCCATTCGGGGCTCTAAAACCCGGATTTTTTCAATGTTGTCCTTATAATTTTTTTCACACAGTCAGAACTAATAAAATAGAACAGTTGTGACTTTTTAATGCAAGGGGTCTTGGAGTTTCAATATTTTCACTCTGCTGGATACTAAAACCAATAAAAATACATGAGATTTTAATTATTTTCTGGATTAAATAAAACCTTTTCCCTTTCTTTTGGAACATACATTTCGTTTGTAGTTGCTGTTGTGAAGGAGATAACGCAGCTTCGGATAAAATACTGTTTTACCAATATTGCTGCGACGAACAGAGTTTTGACCAGATTTTACAGTCTGAGGGGCATTGCGACTACGGTGCTGCGGAAACCGCCCACACATCAGCTGTGCTGGCCCCAGAGCCTGCATGGTCCTCTCTAGCCCCGGCTTCCTCAGCTCTCCTTCTTTTACTTTTCATTTTCATCCTGTACTGTCCTCCCACGAGAGAAAAAAAACCCACTTTCCCATTTTTTTTTTTTTTTTTTTTTTTTAAAAAAAGAAACCACCTTTCACATTAATTTTCTTGGAATGCGCTTGAAACACCCCCAAGTTTTCTGGCTAATCTGGGGATTTCTGGAGGGCGGCGAGGCGGGATGCGTGCGTCCCCGCACCGGCACAAGCTCAGCCCGGAGGGATCGGCTGGAGAAGTCATTAGCCTGGCTGAGACCTCCGGGCCCTGTCCTCCCCCTCGCTTTCTGTGAAGCCCCGCGCCTTCGAGAAGTCTTGAGCTCAAGGAAAAAAAAATGAAAGAAATAAAATAATTAGGCCCCCCCTTGCTGCAGGCGGCCCCGCTGCCGGCCTC